AAATGTGATTCATTGAGAAATAACTCTACAATGTAGGTCTTTCTGAGAAATCATTCAATAACTTATAATGTCTAACAGTAAAGGATGGGTGGGGCCCATTGAGGACCCAAACAAAAAGGGAGAAGCCAAGGTCTATCAGCATTTCTTTGAGGAAGAATGTATTTTTGGGATGCTATTGCTATGTAGGGATATTGACATATCTTATATCTGTTTATGGGTTCTTGTTTGATTAGTCCAAGTTTGTGAAGTGAAAATAAAAAATGATAAACTTTACAAAATATGTAAAATAAGACAATGTTATCAAAACATGAAAAGCTTACCATTCAGTTTGAGGCAGACAGCAACCTTACAATCAAGCAATTAAAAGCTTCGCAATTGTTTACAATTGTTGTTCTACAAGTTGTTCTATTCCAAGTGAGATTGAACCACAGAATGTCCCATGGCGCCTTCAGCTGTTGTGTACATCTTAACTTTTTAAGCTAAATAAATCTAAACAATAGTAATACATGTCCAGATCTCAATCTCATCTCCCTAACAGAAAGGCGGAAGCTAAGAGTCTGACTTGTATCTCCAATATAATTCTAAGTTTTAAATCCTTTGGTGTTTTAGCTATCTTGCAGCTGTTACTTCACTCAGCAGTTCAAAGAGTGACTGACCCATACAAACAATGAAAAATACTGGGTGGCCAAAATTTATACTGGTATTTTGCTAGTTAATGGAATATCACTTAAAATTTTCTTTGAACCCCAAAAGACTAGTTTTGGTTTTGGAAACGAAGTTCATCAGTCTACTGCATGCTACGCCTGCTTTGGTAGATTTAAATGTCCTCTTTTGAATATTCATCATTGAATTTGGGTGCTTTTTCTATATTTTTCATAAAAAAATTATTAGCCCAGTAGACTGATGAACTTCGTTCTCCAAACCGAGACTTGTCTTATGGGATACACTGTTCACTTTACAAAACAATACATGGGTGGACTTGGAAGTTAACAAGGACGGTGTTAAGGGTGAGATGATTTTTCCTAATTAACTGAGAAAATTGGGTCATTTCTGAAAATGTTTGCCAAGGTTTAAAAGAATAATGAATCAGACCAAAATATTCTGCTTATAAATGTTTTTTTCCTGATAATATAAGCTTATTGTCTGGTAATGTTGATGTATTGACAAAGGTAAATTTTACTCAAAGATAATAATTGAAATGTAAAGATAAAGAAAATTTTTTTGGGACATAACAATTTTTTACAAGCTGCAGAAATTCTTGTCCACCCTGTATTTTCAGATTCATTATTTGAGACAACAGGTTCAGTGCCAGGATGTAACCGGATACATTTAACCCTTTATTCTAAGGCTGCACTTATATTAGGCTTAGTAGCTATCCATGTCTTTATGACCTGGAACTAAGTTCTCACTAGCTATTATAAATACATCTACAGATAAGACAGAATGTCTAAAAATGTGCTTATACTGAACTTGACAAGCAGCAAATCAAGTGCGTAAAAAGGAAGTATGTGTTCTTAAAAAGAATTAATGCATTTCGAAAACATAAAACTACTTGAAAATCACAAAACACAAAGTAATATATAGATGGATAAAATAGCTGTATTCTTCAAAAAAAATGAAGAGCAATATTTCAAAAAATGCTGTTCAAAAATCTATAAACAAAAGAACAAAACAAAAATAAGGCTCATGCTCAAAGAAGTCCAATTTACTATACAACAGGGGTATCTAAATGACTAATTAATTATGCAGATAGAGCCATGTTTTGAACTTGTTCCAATTATCAAGTTACATCCCGGATAATCACTTTAAATTGTTATCATAGAGTCTTGTCAACTCTAAAGATGTTGTTAATTACTGACTTTTCAAGTGTGTATGTTTCCTCATACCGAAAAGAGCATACCTCGGTAACATTTATTGTAAATATGCCACTTTAAGCTATCCATCTGGATTCTAAACATGTTTTTTTATTAAATTAAATCAAGGTTTTGTTCTTCAGTAATATTTATGTTAAGTTAGTAGTCTAGCTACAGGCCCTTGTGACCCCCCCCCCACTCAAACCTCCCACAAGAACTCTGGGGCCACCCTGGTGGTAAAGTAGATAAGGGGGGAGGGTCAAGAGACTTGAAGCAAGACTATATCAATTTAATTACAGAAAATATACTGGTTCCTTCCAGCAAGTAGATTAATTATACATTTATTACTATTTATAGTCTTGTTTTCACTAACAAACAACTTTTACAGAAACAATAAGTTTAATCTACAGACAACAAACAGACAGAATAAGAAGTAAATATCAAAAAGAACAGATAAAATTAAGAAAAACAGAACTAACAAAACCCAGAAGAGGTAAACAATACATAACTGACTATGAGGATATAGATAGAATTTTAAAAATCACAGTTTAGTAGTAAACTAGTCTACACTTAAAGGGACATGCATACATACTTGCCTCATAGACTACTGCTTGTCTATGGTTGCTGTGTAAACTACTAGTATCAAATTAACATGAAATTATGAAATAAAGTTTGCTCAGGTCACATTTATTGGCCGAGGCCGGGTCTTTTGGTCATTACTGGGCGTTTTAAGCCAAATTATGAAGAAAATGTGCAGGGCACATTTCGCGCCAAAACTTCAATTACTATTAGATCGCTGAGTGAGTGAAATAGGTCTCTAAGTAAATAGGTAACTAATAGGTAACTAAGTGAAATATATTTTTCTGACTATGTCTTAAATACACCATCCGGTAAATCAAACCATAGAAATAAATGTGATATGAGTGCTAGTCTTTTAACAAAGTGTATCCAATTACGCAAACTAAAGATTGACAATCATTCAAACATTAAGACTGTATGGATTAGGAATATACATTAATCATGATTATTCAATTAAAATAGTTCATTATGTTTCTAATAAAAAAAATATATGAAGAACAGTTTTAAATGTCAGAGCTCCATTTGCATTTTTTTCATCGGATTGCCCAAATAATTTGCGATTGGTGATGTATTTTTGCAATATTGAAGTAACTAATATTCATCATACTGTAGTAGTTTGCATTCTAATTGCAATTCTAAGCTTAATTACAGGCCCGTAGCCCAGGGGTGAGCGGAAGGAGCGGCCGTACGAACTTAAGATTTCCATGGGATGTTGACATTTTGACAGTCAAGAACTAAACATGGAGTTTTGTAAAGTCGGCGTAATTTGAAAATGTACAGGAAACATTGGACTCTTTACATTAATATTTCTCTATTCATTTGATTCCCAAAAACAATATAACAAGAAGGGGGAATATAGACGTGAGTATAATTATTAAATTCCATGACATTTATCATTAATATTATTACTAATGTGTTAAGATTATCCCGCGAAAATCTGCCCTAATCTGACGTCAGAGATTTCAGGTTTGCTAATTATGATATTCATGAGCTGACTTTGAGGAAAGGTGAATATGATCTAGCTTCTGGGACAACCCTCGTACTGAATACAAAAAGAGGAGATAAGTCCCAAAATTCAGAGTTGCAAATGATTTCCTTCATTGATTTACTTAATTAAAATGTCATCATCATTTTATATCATTATATTAAAATTTGATCTATGAAGATCAATTGTCAATTACTGTTCATTTTTCATAACGTTTAAATATTCTTATTGATGCATGGAATAGTATCATAGATTTTGATTGAAAATGTTAACTGTCTAATTATTGAAGAATTAACTAAGACACACCCATGCTTGTTCACATAATCATACTGGCAAAATACTTAACTGAAAAACATACAACCATGAATTAATAAAAAGTGGACAATGGGGGTGGGGGTTTATTTCTTTTGCAAAAAAGGAGAGAAAAACATTACATCTGAATGTTTCGAGGCCACTGGAAGAGAACACATTTGAAGAGAACCTGGGCATAGGCAGTCACATTTCATTGATCTTACTTCACTTCATAACTTGTCGATGCCACACTTATGGCACTACATATTTTTTAAACAACACAAGTATGACTTTTTAATAACATTTATTAACAAGTAACAAATAATTACATCTTATACCAATAATATAATAATAATAAAGTATATAAACAGTTTATTAAGGTTTTATATACAATTTTTCATATGAATAACATTACAGTAGAACCTGAGAGACTGAATAACCCTCCATTCATGAACAATTGTTCTTGAATAAAAAAAACATCATGTTTATTGAACAAACAACTGTCAACCACCACTTAAAAAGATCATTTTTGTGAACAAATTAATTGACTTTTGCCAAAAAGGTCATTTTTGAACGATGCTATTCAAGTTGAAAAGTCACTTTTTCAGTCATTCACCTAAAATATTGATATCAGCTACCATTATCAATTTCCAAGGAAGTCACAATTTCTGTCGAAAACATCCCAGCCTAAACTCAGGTTTTACTGTCTGTATGTTTGACTAGTGAAATGGTTAGCTCATCTACAGGGTGTTTACTATACATGCTGTTTTCATAAACCTGGCACAGAATCATGATATATTCATATAAAGACTCAAGTTAACAAACATAATTTTTAATTTAAATAAAATAATTACATTATTCATCAGAATTATATTACATAAAATTAATAGAGGATATCCTATGATTTATGAGTGATATGATTTTTATCCACGAATGGATATGATATCTGCACGAGCGAGCGTAGCGAGAGAGTGTAGATATCAATATCCTTGAGTGGATTAAAATCATATCACGAGTAAATCATAGGATGTTCTTTCTATTCCATAGTTAAAGTCATCATCAGAATCGTCGGAAATTAAGTTATTTAATTAGAATTTCCAAACGATCCGGCGATGTTGACACTTAGCCTCGTTTTGAGTCTGAAGTAGCAAAAATCCATAAACCATCGCATACGACGTCGTATGTCATGGCTAAAAAACCGTATGTTATGGTTAAGTGAAAATTTGTCAAAAATATCATATTTTACCACTGATTACAAAAATACCGTTTTTATTTTCACATGTTATCCTATGAATATCATGCTAACTATGGAATAACAACAAATACACAATGAATTCCCCGATCAAAGTTAATCAAATCTAAAGCAATAACAATCAAAAATATTTAAATGTTAATGTGAGTTCTCCATCCAATGATGCAGTGTTTGTGCATTGGAACATAGAACACTTGGGTAAAAAGAGATTACTGTTGATTTTTGAACACTCTCTGCCTTGTTATTCTTCACTTACATGATCATATCGACGTCCATGCTACTAGCAACTCATGATCAAATCACTATGGCAACCTCTGTTTGTGCGTATAATATTTATCCTTGCTATTTCCTCATTTATCCAGAAAGTGCAGTTGTCTACTAAGCTTATTTGGCAACTCATTGTCATGGCAGCTATTGTTGGTAGTTGCCATGGTAACCACCATAATTTGATCCAGGGTGGTTGCCATGGTGACCAGTATTGTGGTGTGTAGGAGGTTGTGCACCACGGGGTAGAATCATTACAGGAGACATATTTTGCCCTGGGGACATATTTGGAGACCCTTGTTGCACCATTGGACTCTGCCCCATCATGGGGTTCACATATAATGGTCCATATGGGTTCATATGTGGGCTTCCATAGCCTCCACGTCCTTGAGAATGACCTTGATAATATCTCTGACCTTGACCTTGGTTCCATTGTTTATGTACATTCTGGGGTTTAGTTGAAACCTTAGATTGTTCATTGTGAGTTGCCTCCTGGCTGGTCTGACTTTTGACCTCAACTGGCTTAGATTTGACCTCTGACCCCTGTTTACTCTGTCCTTGACTAGAGGGGGGTGATTTCATGATGTTTACAGGCTTGGATGCCTGTGGTGACTGCTGCTTGGGTTGGAAGTTAGGCAGTTTATCCCAGAGCTTACACAACTCTCCCCCAACCTGTGGCTCTATCTCCTAATAATGAAACATGCACAAAAACTTGAGATAATCTCTCAACAATATATTTTACTATGATTTGCAACATTCAAAGGTCTTTCAGGATACTGTCATAATTTTCAGGATATTGTCATTAAAGACAACTGAACACATACATGAGCAAACATAATGTAAGATACACTGAGGATCAGGGCTCCATTTCTCCCCACATTGTAAAAATCTTCAAATCAATTGTCCATTTGCAACTACCTTATGAGCAAGAACAATTGATTTGTGGATTTGTAAGGTTACGATGATTAGAGAAAATGTCACCCTAGCGTATCTGATTATAATTTCCACAAATCTGAAGTTGGCTAAACAAATATACTATTCTTTCACAATACAATTTTATTCTAAAATGACACACAAATGATAATTAGAAACTTAACACTTTAACTATGCTAGTTTCTTATATTATACTTATCTAAACATTAATCCACATGATGAATGTAAGTATGTCCGAGATGTAAAGGGCCCAAGTCAAAATATTAAAGTGTTCATTTTTGTAAAAATAATTTCGAAAAGCCTCAGACACTCCATCTGCGTTAGACCTTAATGAGCTTTGGCGTTTAACTTTATCAACCATTCACAATGCAATGCAATGTTCTAGACACAACATCTGGGTTCTTACCCTGTCCTCTCTCATAACATTTGCATTGCATTAAAAACAAAAGATTTTTTGTGGTGCCTGCCTGTATACTACACAGACACACAGAGCATGCAGAGATACACATCCAACAGCACAAGACGCAAACTTTGGAAAAATGAGTAAAAATGACATATTCACATCTGACCTGGGGCCTCATCCATTCTAGTAGACTTAAATAATCAAATCATAAATACAGCAAATAAAGTGACTTACCTGGCCATCTCTGCTGACCTGAACTTTCTTGTTCTCATTCCACGGATTCAACAAATGGTGAGCTGATTGGAACTGGAGATTAGCCCTGGAAGTAAAAAAAACACACAGTGATAAATATTGCACTTTAAAGAGTGAAATGGCTACGATGTAATTTACCCAGCATGCCCAAAACATAATCAGATATTGGCACTAAAGTCTATGTCAATGCATTAGGGATAAGGATTTTTGCTATAATTTCCAAATGCATTGATAGAGACTTATAAGAAACTTAAGTTAAATGGAAAAGTGATTTTACAGTAATTTTGATGACAAGAGTGTGGTACCCACATGTCCAGACATAAAATCAAACTAAAATTTGACAAACAGTTCTTGAGATTTTATAGGCCTCTGCTTACTTTTTCACCCAATCTATCCCAAAACAACCTCCAAGACCAGGAGCGCCAAAATCTGGAGATTTTTCCTTGCCAATAAGTGACGTCATTTTTGCGAAACCCTGGAAGTGTCCGCTACCTTGTACGGAGAATATCAAGTAGACAGTTTTCCCATCCTGGAAATCAAAATCAGATTTTCTACATTATATTTATCGGTATTGTTTTTGTTTATTTCTTTTATTCAGCACTACTTTTCCGACAATGAATAGCAATTATTGTTGTTTCAATTAAATGGACTATGAAACATAGAGTAACCTTAAAAATATATAATAATTCTTTGATCTTTTCAATTTGAGAGAACAAAATATTTTAATTTGACGGATTGGCAGATTGAAAAAATCCGCCAAATTAAAAATTCGCCTATTTTCAGATCTACTTTGGAAAATCCCTAAAGAATTTATAATTGGCAATTATATCACTTGTGTAAGTATTCCTATTTGGATGTCAGTGCTATACCAAGACTTACAGTAAGTAGAACACATGAATCTGAAATGTTTATTTCCAGATCTATGATAAAACTTGAGCTCAGTCCTGATTCCGCAAAATTTATTAGCTGCCAATATTTGAAATTGAGCAAATCCGCCAAATTAAGTAAAGTCAAATTAAGTGTATCTACAGTAAGTCAAAATGATACGAGTAGGTGTCGGATATCTCAGTGATAAGTGTTACACACCAGGTTACACACGCACACCATCATGAAGCATTTTGGATAAAAAGCTTCATAACAAAGAATTTTTGTTATACAAGCACAAATTATCATTTGTTATGAAGCTTTGTAAAGAAGCAATTTAACATTCCTGTGTAACAGATACCAGCATTTTCACTAGAGTTACCACGAGCCGAGCAATTCACCTCCGATACGAGCTGTATAGATACATAAAATGAATATCGGTCGTATCGTTTTTTGACCGGAAGTCCCTTCTTACTTACCCAAAGGGAGGGAAACACTCAGAGCTTAGGGATGACAGACAGTCATAGTTACGTATCTTGCTTGCCGCCTTCGTTTGCCCCGATAGTTCCCGGATACCACACGTCGTTTAGATGTTTTAATCAATGTTAGCATATTTTACAACTTTCTTTGTCGTGATGTGAAATAAACGTAATCTGGCTGAAGTACTTCCGGCTTTACAAGTTTGAAAAATTAGAATAACGTTAAGTTTTACTTCAAATTACGCTGTATCATTGTATCGTATCGTTCGTATCGTATCGCGAGGTCAGTATCGTAGATACGTATCGATATTAAATTTATCGTATCGTGGTACCCCTAATTTTCACCTCTTAATCTGTATTATTTAACCCAATGAGGCAGTGGAGGCAGGGAAGGACACATCTGACTAGTAATATAAATAAAGGATATAAGAGTATGAATTATATTTATTGATTCCTTACCTTAAATGCCTTATTTAACTTGCGTTCATTTGAAGCTGTTGTTGCCCAGATACGTTTCTGGTATGAGATGTCAAGATTCTTGTGGTTGTTTGACTTCATCACAAAATACCTACAAACAATATAAAATCACATGTAACCTTTGAAATGTCTCAGGAATGTCTCTATTCTCGAAATAGCTAATCCTCTACTTCAGCAACAGTTCTATATCAGCTACTGAACTTATGACATGACTCCTTTTAATTAAATGTAATAATTTACGGTAATGCACATTTTATTATTAAAACAGAGCACCACAAAAATGCAACCTTCTAATTTGAGAAAAACTTTCAAAAAAATTTTGATTCAACAAAGTAATAGTGAATATTACCTGCATGGATGTGACGATGTTGCCCCAGGATCCCGTTCCAGTCCCCATTTAGATGGAGATGAGGGTGAGGATGTCTTAGGGGAAGGGCATGGGCTACTTTGGGCACTACCCCTTAGGCTGCTGGGACGACTATTCTCAGCTGAGCTAGCGCCAGATGTAGGTGCACTGTGGTACTGTCTGTCATCACTGTATTTGCCACGGTCTTCAGAAGGAAAAATAATATATAATATGATCAAGATGAAGTATGATCACATTATGTACATGGAGCAATTTCCGAGTAAATCAATCAAAGCTTTACAGTTATGTTTCCCTAAACCAGTAGATACATTTAATTGAAAATGTGGCATTTTGATTGAGTAATACTACACAACAGACCCCCCCCATATCTACACATCTACCATTGCCTGGTTTTGCAAATAATATTTGCTTAAATGTTGTTGTTTTTTACAAAAAGACAACTTGAGAATTATTAAGAAGTCAATAAAACTTGGTACCTAAGACATCAATCAACCAAAATCAGCCACTTTTCTTCATTAAAACTAATCATAATTTACTTTACACTGGTGATCCACTCGATTACGCTGGTTACTGAAACAGTTTTTCGAAAAACAGTTAAGATCTGCACTTTTAACCCAAACCATTTATGTAACTTAAGTGAGGAATTGAATCGATGATTCTGTTGTCTTCTGAACTAGTTGTTGCAAACATGTAGATTTTCTAAAACATATGATTATTATATCTTTTATTGACAATTTATATCAGTAACATGATACATTAGTCACTAAAACACTACAAACTACTACTACAACTATTCTAACTACAAATAATAATTATTATACAGTGTGATGCACACTATTAAATACTGATATACATTTGTGAGAAAAAACGTCATGAAGATTCTGCCTACAACACATGAAAAAAGGAAAAAAGAAAAAACGTACCTTCAACGTTCCGACATTTTGTTACCGAAACGAATCGTTTCGGTAACCAGCGTAATCGAGCGGATCAACAGTGCTTTAATCAAGATCGCTATAACTTACTGATAAACTCTCTCCTGAATTGGCGGGGAGGCGTACCGACACCCTTATTACTCTTACGTCCACCCTGACTCTCCTCTGATTGGTCAACATCAAATGAGCTCTGTCTACTACCACTTGACATGATTGCCTCAGCTGTTAAAACGGATGGAGCTAGAGACGAGTGTTGAGAGGAGAGAGAGAGGAGGGGTTAGGGTTAATGCGGTGGTAAGCAGTAAGCAGGTGAAGCACATACAACATATATATAGCCTAATATACTGTACAATGTATACAGGATTCACATTTAAGGTTAAATACATGATTTACATTCACTTCATTGCCCAACTAGATAATTCGTTTTTCCAAATTCATTGCAAAGAATGAAATGTTATTGCCATTGGGAGACAGGCAGTTGTGAGATTTGAATCCTGACATTGTACACTTCATGGAAGTATCTTATAATATAAACATGTAGCAGATGGATGAGATCCTTGCTTGATTTTATTGCACACATTTCTATAAATTCCATTCTCTTTTCCACTTAATGAATACAATTTTTATATGTGATCAGCCTTCAGTTTATTGATGAATAAAATCCTTAAAGAATATATTTTTTATTGTTTTTGCCAGATTTCTGTATATTTAACAGAAGTACTGAGAGTATTATAAGATAATTCCAACTTAACTAACATGAACTTTAACATGCACATAAGTACATCTACAGATAAAGGAGGTATATATGGTATTACAGGGTGACACAAAAAAGTGCCACCCACACAATGTTAAATAACCTTTTTGTCCGTTTGATTCCCGACTTTTTCTTTGTCACATTAACTCCATGAAGTCTAGTTTTAATGTGCAAAAGAAGAAGTCAGGAGTCATACGGACGAAAGGGTTATTTAACATTATGTGGGTGGCACTTTTTTGTGTCACCCTATATAATTAACCTATTTTAGCTGGGAAATGAACCAACCCATTACGTTATGTTACACAATACAATGATAAGCTACATCTAATTTTCATGAGCATTAATCAAAAGCCAAGTTTCTGCAAATCTGTTCATGAATTGTGGGGTATACCTGGTTTCTTAAAACATTGTACAGATATACTTTTGAACTGCGCCCTCTATGAATACACAAAGTCCACACAATTAAATCAAGAAACAAATTCATGCAACCAAATGTGCACTAATTAACTCAAAAGTTCAAAAGTAGGCCTATGCTTTTCAGAAAATAAATAGATTCAGATACATTTTTGGACATCAAAAAATTGTTCTAGTTCTAGTTTATTAGGGCATGCTAATTGATACTTAGACACAAAACATAAGACAAACACAAAATGAAGTACAAAACACATATGCAGAATGCATGTGCAGGTGAATGTGCAGTGTGAATGTGCAGGTTGAATGTGCAGGGTACAAGGTCAAGTGCAGGATCAGAGGAGAATAGAGGTTATTTAGACACATGCACATTATAAGTATGTGAAAGAGGAAAGAAGCATAGATGTGGTTTATATTTTACATGTCAGAATACAAAAGAGATGATTATCAATAAAATTTGATTTTCATAATCAAACAACAATTTGTTGTTTTAGTGATTCTTTCAGATTGTAGTGTCCACTGTTCCACAGCTGGATGACTCTAACTGCAGTTAGCGTCATTCAAGATGGTTTCCCATGGCGAAACTTTTGGAATCCAAATTCAGCTTAGTTTAGCTGAAATCGGAGGTTTGTCAAAAACGAAAGAATTTCGACAACCATCTTGAATGACGCTAACTGCAGTTAGAGTCATCCAGCTGTGGAACAGTGGTGTTGTAGTGTGAGGATCTACATAATAAAATCTTGGCTGTTTCCTAAATTGTTTGAAAATGACACTCAAATAAAGACAAGAAAGACTAAATGATCATTCATTTAATAATTGCTGAATTTCCTCTACATGTAACCTTTAATATTTCATAATACATTACTTTATGAACATGATCAAATTTAAGAATTAACAAAAAATAAGTTGAAAAGTCTTCAAGATAAGGAATAATTGAATTGATTAATCAAAAATGAAATATGATTTCAATGCTGGTTTACTTGACTCATTGAGATGAAATAAATTGATCGATAGTTAAGAGTAGTATTACTCACACATTGGTCTTGGTCTCTGCCCAATCCCCGCTGGTTGCTGAAGTCCCAAGCCTTGCTCCTCATTGGTCAGACAGTTAATCACAGCACGGACGACATTCTGAATGAAACATCCCACAAAACATGCATTATCACATTTGAAAGATTTTATTAGCATTGGGACTAGACTGCATCATAGTTTTCATATTATTTTTCAATATATGCTGACATAGAGGTTTTTCTAAATAAAAACATGACAAAAAGTCTCCATCTTTTAAGTAATTGTAAATGGTTATAGAAGTGTTTGTAGCACAAACCCGACTGATTTAGACCATCAAACTCAATGCATTGGTCAGAGAGATTATTGGCATAAAAGCAATGTCTCACAAACAAGAAATATATAAGTGTTTGATAGTGCTAGATAAGCAAACAAACCCGCCAATAAATTTCACATTTTGCTAATAAATATCACACTTTGCTAATAAAGGATGAGTCTGGGAATGAGTCTGGGTATCGACTTAGAAAATATTGAAAATTGTAATGTCTGAAAAACCAACTCAATCACACATGTTATTAAACTTCAATATCTTATCCTTCTTCTGAGAGTACAAAAATATCAATTTATATCACAATTAATGAAGAATATTGGCATCAAAGACAGTGCATATCACTTTGTCAGAATTGAAAAAAAATCAATGGCAAATATTAAATGAATTATTTCTGCAAAAGGTTTGAAACATATCCTCCAAAACATTGCTTACTTTCTTTGTATAGACATTGAATGGCATTTCTGTATAAGTGAATTGGTGTTTATCTGGGTAATCAAGGGATTATAGTCACTCAAAGTTACTGAGCATCCAGTTTTGAGACTTCAATTGTGTTGGTGAAGTTACACATATTTCAGTCAAATTCATGCTGAGCACAACATTCCGGTTTCAATTTTATAATCTCTATACATGACCCTGGTGATGAAGAGTCAGAATCAGTCAAAAAACCTAAACCGGAAAACTGTGCTCATTGTGAAAACTAAAAGTGAAGCAACTTTTTTTCTGATATTTCTTACATCAAATGGCAGCCATCTTGTTTTTCCCCCCACAAATTAAACTGGCGGGAAATTCAAAAATTTGAAAAAAATTTTAATCCTTAAATATATTTCAAAAATATGATTTTCTTTTAAATTCTTCATGGGTCTTAAGTTATTTCTTCTTTGTAAGTCATACATGTTGCCATTGATGTTTTTTTTTCTACGATAATGACTATTTTTTTTTTGTTAAGATACTTATTCTGACTCTCAGCAGGGGGTTAATTATGCATCAAAACTTGTGAAAAAGTAAATATACTTATCAAATATAACTAGGACAGTAATAAAAAACATATTTAACATACATTTGACTGAGGGACCAAAAGGGCATATACCCGGACACATCCTTTCACACGTTGCTTATAAATAATATCACACTTTTTTATACAAAAATTCAAAATGGTCACCAAGTAATTCACCCATTATGCCCAAATCTAATCAGATCTTGGCACCAGTCGCGGCTCTTGCATGAATAAGAATTTCAAAATGAACACAAAATAGTTTTCCTGGATATTCTATGACAAGAAGCCCAGACAGATAACACATCCATCTACACATGATGACAATATAGCATTATGAATTTAATTACCTCATCTGGTTGGGACCAAGGTTTAGATGGCGCTCTCATGCGCCTTAGGAACAATGAGTGCCACTTAAGTCTCAGCTGCATCACCATGTTAGCAGCCTGCAAAGATAAAACCATATGATGTACAGTCAAGTACAGTATATAACTCAACAGGATACATTATCAGCCTATATAAAAACCCAAAACCATTTAATCAGTTTTGATCAGCACCATTATACAGCATCTATAGGAAACAAGAGGCACCTATTAATCAAAAATGACGACCGATTAATTTACCCAGCATACTTAAAACTAATCAATCTTGGCACTAGTCTGCTCTTGCAGTTAAAATTTAAAATTGAACAATTAGGCTATTTTATTGGGATCCAAAATCGTCTTTTAAGCCAACTTTGTAACATTTTTGAATATTTGAAAAAATCAAAGATGAAGAGGCATACTTACTTCAGAGTCAACCTTGAAGGCAATCCACTCATCGACCCTAAAGAGACTTTTGCGTACTTCATCTTTCTCCTCCCCCTCACTGTCACTACTGTGTTCTTCCATAATATCACCCTGGCCCACTTAAATCATACATTACACATATTATACATATCTTTCTCCTCCCCCTCACTGTCACTACTGTGTTCTTCCATGATATCACCCTGGCCCACTTAAATCATACATGACACATATTATACATATCTTTCTCCTCCCCCTCACTGTCACTACTGTGTTCTTCCATAATATCACCTTGGCCCACTTAAATCATACATTACACATATTATACATATCTTTCTCCTCCCCCTCACTGTCACTACTGTGTTCTTCCATAATATCACCCTGGCCCACTTGAATCATACATTACACATATTATACATATCTTTCTCCTCCCCCTCACTGTCACTACTGTGTTCTTCCATAATATCACCCTGGCCCACTTAAATCATACATTACACATATTATACATATCTTTCTCCTCCCCCTCACTGTCACTACTGTGTTCTTCCATGATATCACCCTGGCCCACTTAAATCATACATGACACATATTATACATATCTTTCTCCTCCCCCTCACTGTCACTACTGTGTTCTTCCATAATATCACCCTGGCCCACTTAAATCATACATTACACATATTATACATATCTTTCTCCCCCCTCACTGTCACTACTGTGTTCTTCCATAATATCACCCTGGCCCACTTAAATCATACATTACACATATTATACATATCTTTCTCCTCCCCCTCACTGTCACTACTGTGTTCTTCCATAATATCACCCTGGCCCACTTAGATCATACATTACACATATTATACATATCTTTCTCCCCCCCCTCACTGTCACTACTGTGTTCTTCCATAATATCACCCTGGCCCACTTAAATCATACATTACACATATTATACATATCTTTCTCCTCCCCCTCACTGTCACTACTGTGTTCTTCCATAATATCACCCTGGCCCACTTAAATCATACATTACACATATTATACATATCTTTCTCCTCCCCCTCACTGTCACTACTGTGTTCTTCCATAATATCACCCTGGCCCACTTAAATCATACATTACACATATTATACATATCTTTCTCCTCCCCCTCACTGTCACTACTGTGTTCTTCCATAATATCACCATGGCCCACTTAAATCATACATTACACATATTATACATATCTTTCTCCTCCCCCTCACTGTCACTACTGTGTTCTTCCATAATATCACCCTGGCCCACTTAAATCATACATTACACATATTATACATATCTTTCTCCCCCCTCACTGTCACTACTGTGTTCTTCCATAATATCACCCTGGCCCACTTAAATCATACATTACACATATTATACATATCTTTCTCCTCCGCCTCACTGTCACTACTGTGTTCTTCCATAATATCACCCTGGCCCACTTAAATCATACATTACACATATTATACATATCTTTCTCCCCCCTCACTGTCACTACTGTGTTCTTCCATAATATCACCCTGGCCCACTTAAATCATACATTACACATATTATACATATCTTTCTCCTCCCCCTCACTGTCACTACTGTGTTCTTCCATAATATCACCCTGGCCCACTTAAATCATACATTACACATATTATACATATCTTTCTCCCCCCCCTCACTGTCACTACTGTGTTCTTCCATAATATCACCCTGGCCCACTTAAATCATACATTACACATATTATACATATCTTTCTCCTCCCCCTCACTGTCACTACTGTGTTCTTCCATAATATCACCCTGGCCCACTTAAATCATACATTACACATATTATACATATCTTTCTCCTCCCCCTCACTGTCACTACTGTGTTCTTCCATAATATCACCCTGGCCCACTTAAATCATACATTACACATATTATACATATCTTTCTCCTCCCCCTCACTGTCACTACTGTGTTCTTCCATAATATCACCCTGGCCCACTTAAATCATACATTACACATATTATACATATCTTTCTCCCCCTCACTGTCACTACTGTGTTCTTCCATAATATCACCCTGGCCCACTTAAATCATACATTACACATATTATACATATCTTTCTCCTCCCCCTCACTGTCACTACTGTGTTCTTCCATAATATCACCCTGGCCCACTTAAATCATACATTACACATATTATACATATCTTTCTCCTCCCCCTCACTGTCACTACTGTGTTCTTCCATAATATCACCCTGGCCCACTTAAATCATACATTACACATATTATACATATCTTTCTCCTCCCCCTCACTGTCACTACTGTGTTCTTCCATAATATCACCCTGGCCCACTTAAATCATACATTACACATATTATACATATCTTTCTCCTCCCCCTCACTGTCACTACTGTGTTCTTCCATAATATCACCCTGGCCCACTTAAATCATACATTACACATATTATACATATCTTTCTCCTCCCCCTCACTGTCACTACTGTGTTCTTCCATAATATCACCCTGGCCCACTTAAATCATACATTACACATATTATACATATCTTTCTCCTCCCCCTCACTGTCACTACTGTGTTCTTCCATAATATCACCCTGGCCCACTTAAATCATACATTACACATATTATACATATCTTTCTCCTCCCCCTCACTGTCACTACTGTGTTCTTCCATAATATCACCCTGGCCCACTTAAATCATAAATTACACATATTATACATATCTTTCTCCCCCCCCCTCACTGTCACAACTGTGTTCTTCCATAATATCACCCTGGCCCACTTAATTCAAATATTACTCATATCATACATCTTTCTCAGTATTTATTTAATTATCTCCCATTGACTGACATATTAAGATACCTTGAAAGGTGAACACCTCCTAATCTGAACACTTTTGGCCAATTCCAGTAGCTTACAGATTAGACAGGTTTTATTGTATTTTATGAACAAAATTGATTATTTTATAAATCAATTCATTTAATAATTTCATATAATTTTGCTGCAATTTGATATCCAAAAACCCTATATAATGATCCAGAAGAAAAAACTACATTCTTATTTTTATCTTATAACCTATTTTCATATTTTCCATAATTTCTGAATTTACAATTTACATTCAATCCACTTATAATCATGATAAAAAAACAAATATCAAAAATTGGGAAAAGGTATTTAGCCTTAATACATATATGTAAGTTTTACATACTGTGAGAATGTGCGTGAGACTCCATACTTTCAGCCTCCTTGACGTTATCTTCTGACAGTTTACATGGTCCAGCCATCAATGCAAGGGTCAGAGGTGACAACACACTCGCTATTCGTACCTGTGCAACAAAATAAATCTTATTGATATTTATTTAATGCAAATGATTAAATATGGCACACCTCCAATCATAAAGAGCATTATATAGGAGAGGAATACAGAAAGTCTGTTGCATAAACTAGGATTTTATATTGATAATAATCATATGAACAAAAAAACATTTAAATTTAATCACTGACAATGTGTACTTTCAAACAACATATAAAACCCCTTCACTTCTCAATTTAAAGCAAATATGAGTTATGTGAGTTCCTAAAGGAAACTGTTCACACCTGAAAAAAACTTTTTTAATATTGATGTTTGTCAAAGAAATAAAATAAAATGAAAAGAAATAAAATTGTATTCTCACCTGCGCCCATGTGACCTTGATAGTTCTTCATAGAGCAACCAATCAGATTAGATTCTCACCTGGGCTATCCTGTGTGACCTTGACAGTTCTTCATAGAGTAACGAATCAGATTAGATTCTTACCTGCGCTAGTGACCTTGAAAGTTCTTCATAAAGTAACCAATCAGATTACATTCTCACCTGGGCTATCCTGTGTGACCTTGACAGTTCTTCATAGAGCAACCAATCAGTGGGTAGGGCATTTACCAGCTGACCATGTGTCTTGAGTCGTTTACCAGAGTCTGGAGCAGCACTAAGCACCGATGTTGGGTGAAACCTCACCTTCGATTCTTTCCTAGTAATGGCACATGCATACATATATAGTTCAATCTACAAGGTCCTAGCTGATTCTTACTCCTTACGAAAAAGCCTCTTTTCATTTCTAAACCCCAAATATTTTAACTAATCTTGAGGAATCAGGATTGTATTTAAACCTTTATTTTTCTGAATGTTTACTGTCATCTTTGAAACTTTTATAGATACATTTCAAGGTTTTTAACATGGAAGTCTATGCAGATTACAATAAGGCACTAACATGCAAAATATCACCACCAGCCATTTGTTACAGATGCCAAATGCTGAACGCATTTGTTACAGATGCCAACCAACAAACAACATCAAAAAAAAATTAAAATATTACACCATTTGTGGTGGTGACATAAAAATGGGACCAAAAAGTGTTCACATTGAGAGATGTTCAGATTGGAGATGTGTATGAATATACACATTCTACTATAAATATATATCCAAACACCTCTCTGATCTGATGTTGCTCTTGCGTAAACTTACTGTGTCATGATCTGCCACCTTTCTCTGTCCACCATTAGTATATTAGGGTAGCTCCCTGCACAAAGTGCAGCCTTCACAACAGCCCAGTTCTCAGAGTTGGTATTCAGATCACGTATATCCCCTCCACCTCTGGCTCGCACAAACCCTGATGCTCTCAACTGCCCCAGTAGCTGAGTTCTGAAACAAGAGGAAAGATGGCTCTGAGGTCAGTTGCTAATTACTCACTTACAGATGCAGAATACCAAGCACCACCCACAAACAGTTGGAGATTATAATATGTCAACTCTGACATAAAAGCTGTTTCTGAAATGCCTGTTGATGATGAAAAGAAAGAACCCCTTTTGAATTCTACATTACCAACCACCTATCAACATAAACCTTTCATATTCTCACAGTTGTCTAAGCAAAAAGAATTACAGAATTAGTGAAATTATAGGTTTAACTGATGTTGAAAAGAATTAATATCAATTTTAAAATGTGAAGGAATTGAAAATTGTTTTTTTTTTTTAAATAATTAGAAAACTTGTTGGAATACCTCATTCCGACAATCATTTCCATGGTAGCAGATGACAGGTAGTTTTTCTCACAGAATGATCGCTCCCAGCCATCTGCTCTGGCCTTCTGCCAGGACTGGAAAGCCCGAAGTAATGCCATATGATCGCTGTTAGTCCCAGCGGAGAACCTACGTCTCACCTGAGCTGCTGCACGTTTTTGTGATGGATGAGCAGGAAGAGTGACTAAAACATAAAAAATAGAGATGATTCAAAAACTAAAACATAAGTGATAGAGATGTTCCAAAAATATAACTTTATAAGGAGGGTGGACAGCAGGGTTCTAACAATTTTCTCAGAATGAAAATTCCCTACAATTCTAGCTAAGAATATTAATTTCTAGATTGTTTTAGCGGTAAAGGAGGACGGAAAGTATTGCAACAGATTTTGGTGGATTTTGGCTCTTTTCTGAGGATTTAAACAGGCGCATATGTTAGGCCAATGCATTACCTCCAGGAAAAGCACTCATAGAGATGATAAAATAATTTCGACTTTGAGACAGGGAAGATGCAAACAACCCACCCACATGTTTTTTCTGAAATGTCCTGATTTTCAACCCCTGCTTTTTCAATTTTTGTTGCATCAATATGCTGCATTTTGAGACACAATTAACCCAGTAATCAAACCTGAATTTTGAAACACTCCTTGCGAGAAACTAGTATAAACAAAACTTCTGTAAATGTAAAATTACCATACTTATGGGACACCGTATGGATGTATGACTTACATGGATCTCTATATGCTAGAGCACAGGCAATGGTGAGGATAGGATCTAGACACTTCAATACTACAGAGTAAAGCACCATCTTGCCATAGCGGGGCTCTATAGGGAGGTCTGTTAAATGGTGCCCAATCTCAGTCAGATCTTCAAAATTATCAAGGGCATCGATTTGCTGCAAAAAACAAGAAAAATAGATAAATATTGCACTTTTTTATAAAAATATTCATGTTGAACAGGTTGCCAGTTTTATTGGAATTTTAATGACAAGATTTACGAGCCACCTGATCGCTCACCCAGCAAGATGACAATATTGTAATATTGTAATTTAAAAGAAAGTGTGATAATAATCAATGTACACAGGGTGACCCAAAAAGGTGGGCCCAAATAAGCTTCTGAACTATAAATATATCTTATATCATTTTATATTATATTAGATTCAGAGATGGCAATTTACATGTTCTGATCAAATTATAAGCTTTTCACATAACTAACTTTTTATTGACCGAATACATTAAATAAATCATCAAGTTCGAAAATGATTTTCATACCTTAAGTAGTGTGACAGCATTCCTACATGATATAAAGGCAGGAGGCTGAGGGGCCTTGGCAAGGAAGTCTGCTATTGGCATATTCATGGGTGCAAGTAACTTGGTATGTAGACAAAGCTCCTGAAAATATGTGTTTGCTACTAATGTATAAACATGCCAACTTAAAAACTGAACAAGCTATAAAAACTTGGGGAGTTTTCATTCACAGGACATTTACTATTAATATTCATTTGTCTCACAAAACTTGAAAAACAGCAACTCCACGGAGTAGCAAATCCCACCGAACAAAATATGTTTTGATAAAAAAATTGAGCCAAATTCATCCACTGGTATTTGAATTATCAAAGATTATATCTTTATGAAACATGGTTGCCATTTTGAAATTCAGCTGTCATCTTTAGATTTCTTCTTTAGCAGAGAATGTCCGTCCAATGGTATCTAGGTTATCAAAGATTACTTTTTTAATGAAAAATGGCAGCCATTTTGAAATTCAGCTATCGCCTTTGAAATTTCTTCAGAAGCAGATCTCCTTTTCCCCTAAACATCAGCATATAAAATTGGAACCAAATCCATCCACTAGTATTTGAGTTATCATTAAGTACGTTTTTTACGAAAAATGGCGGCCATTTTTAAATTCAGTGGCCATCTTGAAAATTTATTTATGAGCAGAACTTCTTTGTCTCTAGGCATCAGCATATAGAATTTGAACCAAATCCGTCAACTGGTATTTGAGTTATCAAAGGTTACGTTCTTTTATGAAAAATGGCAGCCATTTTGAAATTAAGCTGCCATCTTGAAAATCCTTTCTTGAGCAGAGCTCCAATGTCCATAGGCATCAGCATCTAAAATTTGAACCAAATCCATTTAATGGTCTTTGAGTTATCAAAGATAACGTTTTTTACGAAAAATGGCCGCCATTTTGAAATTTGGTGGCCATCTTGAAAATGTCTTCTTGAGCAAAGCTCCTTTGTACCAATGCAACAGCATATAAAATTTGATCCAAATCCATCCACTAGTATTTGAGTTAATAAAGATTATATTTTTTCCGAAAAATGGCCGCCATTTTGAATTAAGCGGCCATATTGAAAATTCCTTCTCGAGCAGAGGTCCTACACCCATAAGGCATAAACCTATAAAATTTGAATGAAATCCGTCAACCGGTATTTGAGTTATTGCCCGGACACACGAACGGACGGACGGACGGACGAACGGACAGACGGACGGACGAACGGACGGACGGACGGCTTTTCTATATCCCCCTCGAACTTCGTTCGGTGGGATAATTAGACTTTAGAAATTATTTTACTAGATAAATATAGTTTGTCAAGTATTCATTAATATACTACTGGTTAAAGCGTTAAATGCCCATTGTCACAAAATTCTACAATGACACTCATCATAGACAAAAAGCCAATTCAATGCTCTAAATATATAGGAAAAATAACTTGGCTATGATTCAGTTTTGATAGACTTGTCTGAGAATCTTGCAATACCAATATGAAACACTATAGCATTACATGTAGATTCCTCACCTGAAGGGGGTACCTAAGGATCTCAGGCTCCTGGTATTGCATCATGCTATCCCAGCGTACTCTGCTGAATAGATGGTAGCACTTTCCAGCCCTACATCTCCCTGCACGTCCCTTACGTTGTAGCGCACTTGCCTTTGACACCCAGGTACTCTTCAAAGTGGAGACCCCCTGGATGGCGTCATAGGATTTCTACAAATAAAATAAGTGATGTAATAGATGTGTGATAGATGCAGTGTTTCGATAAGATTTTTTCACTGGGATGCAGAAATCAATTTTGCAATAGTTCTGAAATGGAATAGAAAAATCCTTAGGGGTTCCTGAATAATAAAGGTAAACAGACACTACGGGCTTATTTGAAAATAAACAGATTTCAGGATGGTATTCGAAGGAACAATTTTACACTGATATTAGCTATGCCTCAAATTATAGTACCGGATTGACAATTTGCACAGTCAGGAAGAAGGAGGTACAAATTCTGGACACATGCTTTGAAGGATGGATTGTTGCTATCCCTTTGAAAATTCTATCAAAATTCAAGAGTTATATTGAAATAAAAAAGATGATGTTTTTTGGCCAAACCTGTACAAGTATATTTTGAGTTCATGAGCACTTTATATGTCTTATTTTAGATTTAAAGAAATCTCACACTTTGGACCTCTTCAAATCGCAATAAATCAAAATAAGATTGCTTAGTCTAGATCACACTTGTTTTTGCACATGTTACAAGGATTGTGCTGATAAAAAACACATATTGCGCACGTTCCTCCCAAACAGACAATACCAGCCAACATAAAGCCCAGCAATAGTTACGAACATGGCGAATGCTCAGCCTAAACGAGATGGTCGCCCAAATAAATCTAATTGGCAGGATGAAACAGATGAGAAAAAACAAGATGAATTATCATCATTAGTGGAAGACTTAAATGTACAGGATGATGAGAATCAGGGAGCAGGGCAACCAGAAGGTTCAGGTTGGTGCGGTATGTTTCATTCAACAAATCATACACTAACTGCTTGGTTATGAGTGAGGTCATGGGTATTGGTATTTATAGCTTTCAGATTAGAAAATGATGGTTTTTAGATATTTAATGAGAGTTTGAGGATAAATAAATGTAGTACACATTTTTTAATTTATACAACTTTCAACTTAAACCCTGATCTCTTTTGGAGAACCAATATAATTAGTGTAACAAATTGTAAGAAGTTTTGGAAAATAAGTTGATCCAATTTCTACTCTGATTTCCCAAAACCAAAAGGTGGCATGGTTAACTGGATTGGTCTATTGATATTTCTCAGAATATAAACTGTCTATATGAAGTAAAGTTTTGGCTCCAATTTGCTGAAATGAAAGGATGAGTCTGGGAATGAGTCTGGGCATCAACTTAGAAAATATTGAAAATTGTAGTGTCTGTAAAACCAACTCAATCACACATATTATTAAACTTCAATATCTTATCCTTCTTCTGAGATTACAAAAATATCAATTTGTATCACAATTGATGAAGAATATTGGCATCAAAGACAATGCATATCACTTTGCCAGAATTGAAATCAATGGCAAATATTAAATGAATAATTCATACAAAAAGTTTGAAACATATCCTCAAAAACATTGCTTACTTTCTTTGTATACACTGAATGGTACTTCTTGATAAGTGAATTGATGTTTATCTGGGTAATCAAGGGATTATAGTCACTCAAAGTTACTGAGCATCAAGATTTGACATGTTACACATATTTCAGTCAAATTCATGCTTAGCACAACATTTTGGTTTCAATTTTATAATCTCTATACGTGACTCTGGTGATGAGTCAGATTCAATCAAAAAACCTAAACTGGAAAACTGTGCTCATTGTGAAAATTAAAAGTGAAGCAACTTTTTTTCTGATATTTCTTACATCAAATTGCAGCCATCTTGTTTTCCCCCTTCAAATTAAACTGGCGGGAACATAGGCATAGACAGGAGGTGTGCGATCGCTGCCCCCCCCCCCTATAATCAATAAAAATTAGTACCATGGGTACTGGGCTCACATGGTCACATTTTTTGCTGATTTTTTGTTACAAAATTATTTCAAGCCATCTGTCTCTCAGTCAATTAAAATGGCTGAAAAAAAAACGGATATAATTTTTTGCCAATAATTTGTAACAAAATTATTTCATACAACTACTCTTTACAGTGACATGGCTTTTTGCAATGCAAGACACCTAAAATTATTTGTAAAGCTAGGAAATGGGCCAAAATTGAATTTCGCGAGACAAAAATGGCGACCATTTTGAAATCAGGCAAGCTTTTGAACCAGGAGTCATAGGGGAGTTTTTTGTATTGATGTTGAACAAAAATAACTTGAAACTGGAATCCTATTGACAGAGGTTTTAAGCAAATGGTCCAAAAGAGGATTTCCCGAGACAGATGGACAAATCAATGTTAACTAAAATGGCTGAAAATAAAAAAACGGATATAATATTTTGCTGATTATTTGTAACAAAATTATTTCATACAACTACCTTTTACAGTGACATGGCTTTTTACAATGCAGGACAGCTGAAATTATTTGTAAAGCTAGGAAATGGGCAAAAAGTGAATTTTGCGAAACAAGAATGGCAACCATTTTGAAAATAGGCGAGCTTTTGAACCAAGAGTCATAGGAGAGTTTTTTGTATTGATGTTGAACAAAATTAACTTAAAATGGGAATCCTATCTACAGAGGGTTTAAGGTAAATGGTCCAAAAGTGGATTTTGCGAGACAGATGGACAAATCAATGTTAACTAAAATGGCTGAAAATAAATAAATGGATATAATTTTTCGCTGATTTTTCGTAACAAAATTATTTCATACATCTACTCTTTACATTGACATGGATTTTTACAATGTAGGACACTTGAAATTATTTGTAAAGCTAGGAAATGGGTCAAAAGTGAATTTCGCGAGACAAAAATGGCGGCCATTTTGAAAATAGGCGAGCTTTTAAACCAGGAGTCATAGGTTAGTTTTCTGAATTGATGTTGAACAGAAATAACTTAAAACAGGAATCCTATCGACAGAGGTTTTAAAACGTGCCACAGAAAGTGGATTTCGCGAGTCAGATAGACAAATCAATGTTAACTAAAATGGCTGAAAATAAAAAAAATGGATACAATTTTTCGCTGATTTTTTGTAACAAAATTATTTCATATATCTCATCTTTACATTGACATGGATTTTTACAATGTAGGACACCTGAAATTATTTGTAAAGCTAGGAAATGAGCCAAAAGTGAATTTCGCGAGACAAAAGTGACGGCCATTTTGAAAATAGGCGAGCTTTTGAACCAGGAGTCATAGGGGGGTTTTCTGTATTGATGTTGAACAGAAATAACTTAAAACAGGAATCCTATCGACAGAGGTTAGCTAGAAAATGGGCTAAAAGTGAATTTTGCGAGACAAAAGTGACGGCCATTTTGAAAATAGGCGAGCTTTTGAACCAGGAGTCATAGGGGGGTTTTCTGTATTGATGTTGAACAGAAATAACTTAAAACAGAAATCCTATCGACAGAGGTTTTAAAACGTGCCACTATTGTTGACGGACGGACGGATGGACAGACGGACGGACGGACAGACAGACGGACAAGTGAGCGATTGCAATAGCTCACCATGTGAGCTAAAAACCAGAACAACGGCAACGCCAAAGCGTAGCGAATCCCATCGAACAGTCATGGATGTCATTTTTACAAACAAAGTAGCATTTTTCAAAATGACCGCCTTCTACCAAAAGTGTCATTAGACCATTTGCCATACTTATAGTATTCACATACCAAATATGAACAAAATCGCTCCACTACTTTTCGAGTTATAGTAAAATACGTTAAAATGGCGGCCATTTTTTCAAAATGGCCGCCTTCTACCAAAAGTGTCATGAGACAGTGTGCCATGCTTAAAGTATTCACATACCAAATATGAACAAAATCGCTTCACTACTTTTCGAATTATTATAAAATACGTTAAAATAGCGGCCATTTTTCAAAATTTTTTTTAAAATGGCCACCTTCTACTAAAAGTGTCATAGGACAGTGTGTCATGCTTTTAGTATTCAAATACCAAATATGAACAAAATCGCTCCACTACTTTTCGAGTTATAGTAAAATACGTTAAAATGGTGGCCATTTTGAAAAATGGCCGCCTTCTACCAAAAGTGTCATTAGACAGTGTGCCATGCTTATAGTATTCACATACCAAATATGAACAAAATCGCTTCACTACTTTTCGAGTTATGGTAAAATAGGTTAAAATGGCGGCCATTTTTCAAAATGGTGGCCATTTTTTAAAATGGCCACCTTCTACCAAAAGTGTCTTTAGACAGTGTGCAATGTTTATAGTATTCACATACCAAATATGAACAAAATCGCTCCACTACTTTTCGAGGTACAGCAAAAATCGTAAAATAACGAGTAAAGGCAGCCATTTTTCAAGATGGCTGCAATGTGCTTCTTTAATGTCTACATTTCTAGCTTTATTAATGTCCTATATAATTTTTTTACATCTAAAACATATTGCTATTACAATTTTACATATTGCACCTAAATTACTGTAAATTCGGCACTAAAATGGCCGCCATTTTGTAATGAGCGGCCATTTTAAAAATCGGCTTTCGAGCAGAACTTCTACTCCCATAGGGTATATGTGTATAAAATATGAACAAAATCAGGCGAACGGTATTTGAGTTATTGCCCGGACGGACGGACGTACGTACGGACGGACAGACAGACAGACGGACGGACAAACGGACGGACGGACGGAGGCGTTCCCTATATCCCTCCGAACTTCGTTCGATGGGATAATGAAACCATAAGAAAGAAGAAGACAAGAGCTTTAAAATGCTTTTTATTTGAAGCTTCTAGCTCAATTTTGAATACCCTTCGTGCAGAGTCTAGTTAAACTACACTCTGCCTAGTAGAGACCATATTACATCCCCCACGATGGGTACCGGTGACAGTTTGGGAAATAAATAACTTTTGACCTACCCACTGACCTTTCTTCCACCAATCAGCGAGCTTGAAGAAACATACGCCAAATGCGTTCTAATTAAATATGCGCATGTCATTGGTCAATTCCGGGCTCAACGATGACGTCAGAAGGAATGACCATAAATAGAACGTCGGTCAAATTTGGCCGACGAACACTGATTGGCGCGGTGATTTCACAGGTTTATTT